TTCTTAGTTCCTATTTCTTTTACCTTGAAACACACACACACACACGGCAAAAGAAAAAATATGCGCATTTTCCGTCTAAAATTATGCTAATTGTATTGCATGCTATATGAAAACAACATAAACATCATAACCACAGATGTATTATGATATATTTGAAGTTTATCGATATACAAGAAAGCGCAGATACAATAATAATAATGATAAAAACAATAAATTAATAACACATATTATAATTATAATATAATACAGAAAAAGCAAAAGAAAACCCAAAATGGAAGTGATTTACTGATTTATATATATATAAAAAAACTCATATGAAATGATTTTAGAGCTCACTTCATGCACGTGTTGTTCTAAGTAAATTAATCTTCATCAGGTACGCTTGAGGCCAAAAGATTCAAAGCACAAATAATGAAACATTTCAGTGCATAGAAAACAGAAAGGTCTTGACATAACAGCCAACCAGTCTAAGGTCAATGGTAGTAATAATTTGTAATATGATTTCCGTGTGCACGGCACGTTTAACTAACAATCCTAATGAAGAATGCTAGAGATCAAAAGATTGGAAGCCAAGAAATATAAAACGTTTCAGAGCATAAACACAGATATATATATATTTTCAAGAGAGTGTCCCGGCCTTATAACAAATTAGTCTGGGTCAATGCTCTAATATAGCAGATATAACATAACAATTTTCATCAACAAATCATTCGGTAAGCAACTTCTTGCACAAATATATTTAAGATTATTACGATCATAAAAAGGCACTGGAGTTTCGCAGTTGCATTACTTACCCTGTGCAAATGCAAGCGTTCCAAATAAGAAAACAAGTTCCTTCATCTTAATTGAATATCATAGATTTCTTATCTCTATGTAGTACATGTATGTTTCAAGAGGCTCCATATGGTGTTGTAATTAATTCTAAATTATGAAAAATATATAACTTAACAAGTAAAATTGACGACAAAAATTATTGTTCCACTACAAAACAAGGTGTTTGTCGTATTGGCTAAAAAACAACAGTGCAACAAGACAACAAGCTGTTGTCTGCTCTATGGTCGGGTTGTTGTCTCTTTGACACTTTCCCCATTTCCATTCTCAATTTTACTAAACTTTTCACTTCTGTACTCGTACTGTGAACAACAAATTTATTTATTTTGTAAAAAATGTTTCTGTACTCCTAACAACAAAATTGTTATATTTAAATGTACCTGTGTACGTTATTTTATTTAACGCCATTTTGTCCCAGATTAGAGTTGTCTTTTTGACATTGTTCCCTGCATCCTTTTTTTTTTATTAATTTTGTATTTTTATTGTGTCATAGATCAAACTTATTCGTTCAGTGTATGTTTACTTGTTTTTGTTTATAAGCCTTTTTGATCGAGTTAAGCCATTTCAATTGATATTTTATAGTGTGTCTTTTTATGTTGTAATGTTACACTACTGTTTTAGGTTAGGGTGAAGGTTGGTGCCTGTTAAAACGTTTAAACCCGCTGCATTTGTATGCACCTGTCCTAAGTAAAGAGCCTGTTGATCAGTGGTTGTTGGTGTGGTTCATAAGTGTTTATCGTTTCTCGTTTTTTATATAGATTAGACCGTTGGTTTTCCTGTTTGAATTGTTTTACACTAGTCATTTTGGGGTCCTTTATAGCTTGCTGATATAATAATCAGTATTAGTGGCCGAAACGAAATTTGAACTATTCAGTTTAAACTTTTTGCAAGCGTTCATTGCTCTTAAAACAGACTGAAATTAAATCGTTCGGTGATTTAAAATTGCTTATATCCACGTCATTTGGTGACTGTTGGATATTTGTGTCATTGACAATCATGCCACATATCCTTATCTTATATGAAATTGAAGACCGGCATATTTGATCATCATTTGATGCTGGTACACTAAAACTCTTCATAATTATATATTTGTTTAAATTTCAAAAAACTTATATCTGTAAAATATTTAATCTGCAAAACATTTCAATAAACTAACACACATTTTAAATGTATGTTATCAATAAAGAAAATACCTCACCTTGAATCTGACAGATACCGTGAAAGTTCTTACTTAGTTCAAACGTGATTCTCTGTCATGTCGTTTAAGTTTATATGACCGTATTTCTTCAAATAAATGGGTGATCGTCAGAACAACTTGCTGGCGACCTTGAAACATCAATATGTAGAATAGAAAATAAAATTTACTGAATAAACTTTCAACATAAGTACCCTTTAAAAATAAATACCACTAAACATAAGCTCTTATGTATTATTTAGTTTCTGTTAGTTCAATTACAACCAATTAAAACCATTGGAATCAGTCGGATGAATGACATTGAAACATTTTATTTACTTTCCAAATCTTCAAACTATTAGACTTTCCAGAGTTTAAGTTTATCATCATCATGATTTATTTGATAGAGGGTTGCTGATATCAAGAAAATCGCTACAAAAGTTTTAAGTTGAAAATTCTTAATGGTAAAATTGAAATCTTGTACGCCTTCAAGTCTAGGTTGAGCCAACTGAATATCTTTTCCACCACGGATATGTTCCAATTGTGGTAACCGCAATCTGTCCTTCATAACTATTATCATCGATTTTTTTTTGTTATTTGTAAAGTTGCGGTCGTTGCTATTAGCTATATATAGTAAAGACTAAAGTCAAGTTTCCTAACATTCTGCAGTACTTTTATCTGATTCTTTCATTTGTGTTTTATATATACATTGTATACATTTGTACTAAAACTAAGTCTCATTTTCCCATTTTATCTTCCTATCTTAATGGTTTGAATACATTCAGACACGTTTGGGTTTTGTGTGGTCTTATTAATAATTGACAATGAACTGGAATACAATCAGATGTCAGTTTTGTATCTTTGGGATTTTGTCATATTGGCGTCTACTCCAAATCTTTCACAATAACAATAGCAGGAACATTTAATTTGGTCCGCTACATTTTAGAGTATTGTGGGCACTTGTTCATTGTGATAAAGTAAACTATGATGACCCGTATAGGACTTCTATTTTTGGTTTGTTGATTGTTTCATTATTTTCATCTACTTTACATGTCCTTTACTCTACTGTTTTATCTATTTTTAAATGTATACTGAAGGTCAATATAAAGGCAACCCCTACATGTATTTTCCATTTAATATAAACCCAAACTGGTAGATATTCTTCGGAGATTGACCAATAGTTCTAAGATTTTAAGGACTCCTTAGTGTATGTATACAGAACATTTTCTGCAACTTTAAGAGCTTTTTTCTTTTCAGATACCAGCGTTTAAATATTCCACGTATTTAACACAAAAAATAAAACAAACACAAAATAACATTTTAAATGGCAAATTTCCACAACAATAGAACCAACACCCTCTCTATATATAAAGCTTCTTCCCAATGGCTGGATAGAGTAAAACAATAGGTTCTTGTTTCTAGTTTTAGATTAATCTGGTTTCCTCCAAATTGTTCACCAAAAAAGACTATTCTTGCTCGATGTCAATATGCAGTTCAAATAAGTGCAGAAAAGACATAGCAGGTAAAAATTATCGTCAGTCAGTGGTGATTATGATTCTCATTCAGTGATAGATGAATTACGTAATATTACATCAGATATTGAAATTCTGAACTTATTGGGATGTTTTAATCAACACAAAAGCAACAGACTGTGTGCTTTAGAATAATTAAAAAAAAGTATTATACCGACTTCAGTGCACAAGACACTTTTTACTATCACTATAGAAACACGAGGCTTGGAAAGTAAAAACCTATAATTGCGTATAACAGCTTAAAAACCCACCAAAATCCTAAACAAAAAAACCAAAGTCTTCCAAGGTCAGTTTTGCTATGGGAGTTGCAGCCTTATTTTTAAAACGATTACATTGTATGAAATGGAAATTTACTAATAAAATGTACATGTATCATTAAAATTGTGCCTTTATTGATATCTGGTAAAGTAAGAATAATCAAATATTGGATTCGTCTATTACGGACGAGAAATTGTATTCATAGTGCTATATATAATGACATGTATCAAGAGTGTGAATTAGGAAATAAGTCATCATGGGTTAATAAGGTTAAATGTATGTTACTTAGCTTAGGTTTCGGGCATGTTTGGTATACACAGAATGTTGTAAGCGAAGAAGTATTTTTAAAATTATTCAAACAAAGGCTTATTGACCATTTTCTTCAGGAAAGAAATATTTTTTTTTTCGATTCGTCATTAAAATGTACTATTTATAAACATCTTGTGGATAATTTTCAATTGCAGTTTTATTTGACAAAAAATTTAACTCCACAATGTATTAGATTTCTAACTAAGTATAGACTGTGTTCACACAAATTAAATATTGAATATGGTAGATTCATTAAAAGAGCAAGAAATGAAAGATTATGTATTTTGTGTAACCATGGTGATATCGAGGATGAATTTCATTTTATTTTGAAATGTCCAAAATAAGAACAATATTAGAAAATTGTATATTAAAATGTATTATTATACAAATGCATCTGTTTTTAAATTAGTTCAGTTATTGTCAACAAATAATGTATCGGAATTGTCTAATTTAGGAAAATATTTGAAATACGCTTGCATCCGATTGTATTTAAAATGTTCTGTTGTGATATACATGTATATATTTATGATATACCTATAAGCCGTACTGCTTCTGGTTTGAAATAAACTATTAAACTATTAACAAAAGAACTGACGTCTGGGAAAACGGAAAAATCAAAATGATACTCTCCAGGAATCATAAGCTTGCTTACCAAGGGTAGTAAAAATAAGTCGTACTATTTCCGTGCGCACAACACATGTTTCTGGTATCACATTCATCAGTCTTTAGATACGCTCGCCATCAGATGTTGAATTGCATTCATTAATCTTGTATTATTGCATTTAGCCGAAGATTCGCGAATCTGGTTCTAAATTTACACTTTTTATTTGGTTCATAATCATAGCTTTACATTTTTAATTTGCACTTTAACGAATTTACCTGTTTATACTCAAAAATGAACAAGCACATACACTTTATTTATACACGAATACATTGTAAGAAGGCATATAACAAAAATAGAAAAATTTACATACAATTTAAACTGTTATTGTTCTTGCTATAGAATGATAGTCGGATTAGTTTGATCCATAGGCACTGAAAACTTTCTCTCTAATCCAGGGATAATCCTTAGTTTATCTTCACTGGAAGGAAAGCGTTTTATAAATATTGTTATGCACACAACAGCAGAAGTTTGAGAGGCAAAAAAGCACAAAGCAACAAGATAAGTTGACCAGCTGTATTCGTAGCTAAATGCTAAATCTTCGCTTTTTTTAGCGTGACTAGTTTCATCGTTTATAAAGGTTATATACAGTACCATCCCGACTGCAATACACAGACCTGAAAAATACATATCAGGCCGTTAGTTTTCTCGTTTGAATAGTTTTACATTTGTCATTTTCGTGCCTTTTATAGCTGACTATGCCTTATGGGCTTTGATCATTGTTGAAGGCCGTATGGTGACCTATAGTTGTTAATTTCTGTGTCAATTGGTCTCTTGTGGAGAGTTGTCTCATTGGCAATTAACCACATCTTCTTATTTTTATATGTTTTGAAAGAAACTAATGACTAGTTATAACTAATTTTAGTAATGATGATTGCAGTCAAACCAATGTCATATGTAACAATGGAATGGAAGGGATGGAAAACCAATGTCATATGTCACAATGGAATGGAAGGGATGGAAAACCAATGTCATATGTCACAATGGAATGGAACGGATGGAAAACCAATGTCATATGTCACAATGGAATGGAAGGGATGGAAAACCAATGTCATATGTCACAATGGAATGGAAGGGATGGAAAACCAATGTCATATGTCACAATGGAATGGAAGGGATGGAAAACCATGTCATATGTCACAATGTTATGGAAGGGATGGAAAACCAATGTCATATGTCACAACGGAATGGAAGGGATGGAAAACCAATGTCATATGTCACTATGTCACAATGGCATGGAAGGGATGGAAAACCAATGTCATATGTCACAATGTTATGGAAGGGATGGAAAACCAATGTCATATGTCACAATGGTATGGAAGGGATGGAAAACCAATGTCATATGTCACAATGGTATGGAAGGGATGGAAAACTAATGTCATATGTCACAATGGAATGGAAGGGATGGAAAACCAATGTCATATGTCACAATGGAATGGAAGGGATGGAAAACCAATGTCATATGTCACAATGGAATGGAAGGGATGGAAAACCAATGTCATATGTCACAATGTTATGGAAGGGATGGAAAACCAATGTCATATGTCACAATGTTATGGAAAGGATGGAAAACCAATGTCATATGTCACAATGTTATGGAAGGGATGGAAAACCAATGTCATATGTCACAATGGAATGGAAGGGATGTCAAACCAATGTCATATGTCACAATGGAATGGAAGGGATGGAAAACCAATGTCAAATGTCACAATGGAATGGAAGGGATGGAAAACCAATGTCATATGTCACAATGGAATGGAAGGGATGTCAAACCAATGTCATATGTTACAATGGAATGGAAGGGATGGAAAACCATGTCATATGTCACAATGTTATGGAAGGGATGGAAAACCAATGTCAAATGTCACAATGGAATGGAAGGGATGGAAAACCAATGTCATATGTCACTATGTCACAATGGAATGGAAGGGATGGAAAACCAATGTCATATGTCACAATGTTATGGAAGGGATGGAAAACCAATGTCATATGTCACAATGGAATGGAAGGGATGGAAAACCAATGTCATATGTCACAATGGTATGGAAGGGATGGAAAACCAATGTCATATGTCACAATGGTATGGAAGGGATGGAAACCCAATGTCATATGTCACAATGGAATGGAAGGAATGGAAAACCAATGTCATATGTCACAATGGAATGGAAGGGATGGAAGACCAATGTCATATGTCTTAATGGAATGGAAGGGATGGTAGACCAATGTCATATGTCACAATGGAATGGAAGGGATGGAAGACCAATGTCATATGTCACAATGGAATGGAAGGGATGGAAAACCAATGTCATATGTCACAATGGAATGGAAGGGATGGAAAACCAATGTCATATGTCACAATTGAATAGAAGGGATGGAAAACCAATGTCATATGTCACAATGGAATGGAAGGGATGGAAAACCAAGGTCATATGTCACAATGGAATGGAAGGGATGGAAAACCAATGTCATATGTCACAATGGAATGGAAGGGATGTCAAACCAATGTCATATGTCACAATGGAATGGAAGGGATGTCAAACCAATGTCATATGTCACAATGGAATGGAAGGGATGGAATAAATACTTTATACATTGTATGCGCCGAAAGTGCTTTTCTGGATTGACATTCTCCTGGAACGCTCAAACTGTGTGCGCCGGAAGCGCTTTTCTGGATTGACATTCTCCTGGAATGCTCAAACTGTATGCGCCTGAAGCGCTTTTCTGGATTGACATTCTCCTGGGCGCTCAAACCTAATATAAATGTAACTGTATCGTATGCCCTTAAAAAGGACCTAAACAGAATCTTATCTTATCTTCCTAAACGGAATCATACTTTTCCAAGCCCTCGAATAAAGTAGATTGTTACTAGCAATATAAATACAACACTTCCGGTAAGAATATCAAAGCAGAAAATTCCTACACTGAACTTTTCTGGAGATTTTATCAGATATTTTGTCGAATTATTTATAGTGTGGATTCATTATTATTCTTGTGGTAACAATTTTCGTTGACTTTGCAAGTAAAGGTAAACTACGAATTTAAATGTTCTTCGAAGTATTAATTTTCTATATGCTGGTATGCATAATTGTTTTTTTATTGAACAGTATTCTTAAAATCAAAATAGATAAGCAAATAAAATGATAAAACCTCTGATTTCGGTTTTTTTGTTTGTATTTACCGATATAAATTCTATATCATGTTGAGGACTGTTGTGTGTCATTCTCATCTCATTTTTTGTTGGCCAATGGAGCTGAAAGTCTTTCTGTGATATGTTTTTTATAGTCTTTTTCGACATCTTTTTACAATTTGAAATTGCAGATCCCTACAGTTTCCGGTACATGTTAAACGAATCAAGTGCAAGTAAAATTCAGCGTTTATTAGTAAACCTGTAACTTTGCAAATGACAGCAAAAAAAAAAAAAAAGAGAAAGGCAACGTTCGGAGTGTGACATGTAAAAATTCTATGCATTACCAATACACGTATAGCTTCATCAGGAGGGCCAGGGCCCCCTTTCCAACCTAATCCGCCTCTGAGATTGCTGTTTGCTTCACGGCCAATCTTTCATGCATATTTTTTTTTTAATAAAAAAATTAAGTTCTGCATTGTCAGTAATTTACCTGCGTTTATGTAAAAAACAGCTGCCAACAATGTTAGTACATTTCCTCGTATATTTCCAACAATATTGAATAAGGTTGAGCATATTATAAGAAAGAAACCAGTTAGAAAGACTGGAGTTGCTTCTCTTTGTGCCTCTGAAAAAGAAAAATAATCATGGTTTTGATTGTTTTTTTGTTTTTGTTTGTTTTGTATTACCGTTAACTAAATATTAATGACAAGGGGAGGGGGGGGGGGGGCGGGCTTAAAAAGTGCCCCTCCCGTTTTTTGATATTTTTTGGCGAGGGAAATGTTATATTCTGGTCATATGTAATAAATTAAGCTATCTGATTCGCAACTTCGTCAAATTGTGCATTGCATGGATTTTTTTTTCGCTAGACAATGATCAAAACATTATTGAAATTATGACTTTCAATTTTGACCCCTTTATCAAAGTTTGCGAGCAGCGTTAACTCTCTGGAATTTGACGTCTGTAGTACGTTTGAATACAAAAATGATAAAAGATTGAGGAAACACAAACTTGAAAGATAAATCGAGATTTTGTTTCTGTTTTATTTCCAGTCAGAAGTTGTGATGCTTAACTTTGTTGAGTTGTATATTTTCACTAGTACAAAGTATTGTCTCTCTACATCTGGTAACTTTGTAAGAATAAGGTAGCTCGCCATCAAATCGAATTCTGGTCAGTATTTTCTCGGGTTCTTGGGTTGTCTTTTTCTTTCAAAAACAATTGTTTGGCATATGACGTTTTCAGTTGTTCTGTTCAATGTAAGATCGGAAGTTTTCCTTTTGTTATTCTTAACATATTGCGGATTGTGGGTAACTACAAAAGGGATAATTTCCCCGTTTCGGTCCCATTTTATTGTTGTTCTAATTCAGTTAACGAGATAACAATGTCCCTTTTAGTTCCAGCATCTATTAGAGAATTGTGTTTATTTTGTTTCCTTAAATATATATATATATGTTAAGTTTGTATTTATGTGTGTTACACAATAACCGAGGCTGCTTTGCTGATGAAATACTCCTAGATTATCGTTTTTATCACATTGATTGAACCATATCTATATAATATGTGACACTCTAATAAACTATTTACTTACTTATAAGGTTATTTCTCTATAACAAATATTTTCAATACATGTCTCATGTTACCTGCGATTGCTGTGGTTGTTTCTTGTTTATCGTTTTTATCTTTTTTGTTAAAACTACTGGAATAATCTAGAGGAGTACAATCCTTGCCTGTAACAATAAGCACTATCATTGTAATGTTTTTTTATAATGTATAAAAGCGATAGGTTTCCAATTATTGTCACATTAACATATAATGTCTATTTAGATTGCTCATCCAATTTTGTCAATATAACGGAACTATATAAATAACTGTCATACAAGTGGGAGGTTGAGCTAGCTATGAAACCAGGTTTAATCCACCATTTTTTTCTATCGGAAAATGTCTGTACAAAGTCAGTAATATGACAGTTGTTTTCCAGTCGTTGCGTTGGTTGATAAAGTCTAACGTTTGATTTTGTCAGTTTTATGGACTTCCTCTTTTTGAATTTATATTGGAGTTCGATATATTTGTTATACTTTTTTATTGTATAAGTAGAACCTCAGACAAAGTAGTATCCTCCACTATAATATGTGATATGTACTACAAAATGTAGTTTATATATTAGTTGAAGAGCGACAGGCCATTATAAACATACGTAAATCTATTTTTAAATGGTGAAACTAAACATTTTTGCAACATACCTTTTCTTTTTTTTATCTTAGAGAAGGTTTAGTACGAATTTTGCTTATCCGTTTATTTGGAGATTGTTTCATATTTCATATCTGGATAATTTTTATTGAGTCTGAACTCGGAAGCGGGTGATGTACGCATAGTGAGAGCGGCTTACCTTGTTGGAGCATGCTTCCTTCTTTTGATTTCATGTGACCTCTGATATGACCTTTGTTTTGTACATAAATCAGGCCATTAGTTTTCTCGTTTGAATTGTTTAATATTTCGGATTTTTATAGCTTAATATGCGATATGGGTTTTGTTCATTGTTGAAGGCCTTACGGTGCCATTTAGTTGTTAACTTCTACGTCACTTCGTCTCTGATGGAAAGTTGTCTCATTAGCAATCATGCCACATATTCCTATTTTTATAGTATTTTTCAAGTTTTTGCTGTTTGTTTGTAAATTCCAATTTGATTTGCGTTGAACACCGTAAACTATTGTTGCATGTTATTAATTGCAACGTACTACCTACCCACAGCATGTATGATACAAAAACGCCAAAGTCCAATTTTCGAAGCGACATTCCACGTTTCCGGCATACCACTATAATTCGTTCCATTGAAGCCATCTTCGGATATGGTAAGCATACTTGCAGTAGGAACTTCCTCACTTAAAAGTAACCAATAATCCGTAGAAATGGCCAGTGCAATGCTAGCTAATGATACAGCTCCTAAACTAAATGCTACACAAGCCAGCATAAACTTTGAGCAATGCATAGTAGATGAATAAGACTGAACAGCCGTCTAATCTACATGTTATATGTGTTGAGTCTATCATTACACAGATCTCAGATACACAAATCTCCGTCTACTGCTGGTTCTTATCCATTTATATTTCTAAAAAATAGAAAATTTGAATAGAAAACCTAAAAGAATCCTTGCTCTATTCAATACAAGTTTAATTGAAAAATTTAGAAAATTAAAAATTATCATCTGAAGTCATGTCTAAAAGTACTTCCGGTTTGATGTAAGCATTGTAAGGTCATTTATGTAAAGATACCCTCAAGTCTTAATAATTCTCCTGGAAAACATTACCACATGTGGAGCAGAATAGGCTTACCCTTCCAGAACACCTGAGATCAACCCCGGTTTTTTTGTGGGGTTTGTGTTGCTCAGTCTTTAGTTTCAATGTTGTGTTTTGTTTACCCCTTTTTTTTTTGGTCGTTTTTCGTTTTTTTCCATGGCGTTGTCAGTTTGTCTTCGAATTTTGAGTTTGAACATATTTAGGTATCTATCGCCTCTTTATGTTTGTTTTACATATAATCTTGGTTAATTTTAGAAACGGTACCACTGTTGGTTTGTCGTTGAAACAATTCAAGCAAGACAATTATAAAACCTTACAAGTAAAGAAGACTGGAACCAAATTAGTTTCGAATCAGCGGAAACAACGAAAGGAAACTATACATAAACAGGTCACATTTGTTTGTTCCTAACTCAACTTTAGCCAGCAACCTTGTATGTGGTTGTGTTATGTCATATCTTTATGGTTTTTCATTGAAAAAAGTTTAATAGAAGGTCTTTGATAGTTACTGGTTCCTAAAAATTGATTAATTTACAAACTTTTAAGATTGATGACCATTAAGAGTTAAGCATATTTATAGACACATTTCTTCTATTTGTGAGGGGGATGATTGACATCTAAATGTTTTGATTATTTGGGTCAATGGTCTGCTGTTTTCTTGACGTAAACCCGCCCTTTATCTGCTCTTATTCATATAGATTGTTGTCGGTCTAAATAGGAAAGAAAAGATCTTAATTCCGACAAGCTAAACAGTCAGATATATAAAAACTGGTAGCATGGAATCTTATTGGCTTTAAAACTCAATAGTCTGACAGTCACATATCTGTAACATTAACAAGCTTACTTGAACCAACCAGTTGTTGGCATGATATGGGTTATGTTCTTCTCATATAATTTATGATGGCATGATACTAAACCCCTAACGGGGGTATTGTAGTTGATTTTCATATGATGAAGACATAATCTTTCGATCAGTTTAATTGAGGTCTGGAGCTGGCATGTCAGTAACTGCTAGTAGTCCTTTGTTAATTCATATTGACTATTGTCATTTTGCTTAGTTTCTTTTGTTACCTATTCTAACATCGGACTCGGTCTTCTTTTAAACTGAGTTTTACTGTGCGTATTGCTGCGTGTTTGTTTATTCCACGTTGGCTACAGGTATAGGGGAAGGGTTTTGAGATCTCATAAACATGTTTAACCCCGCCGCATTTTTAAGCCTGTCCCAAGTCAGGAACCTCAAGCCTTTGTTAGTCTTGTGTGTGTTTTTTTTTAAAGTTTTTGTTCCTTTGTTTGTTTCGGAGTTTAGTGTGGCGTCCATTTTGCTGAACTAGTATAGATTTTCTCGCTGCGTTGAAGACTCATTGGTGGCCATGTGCTGTTTTCTACTCCTTGGTTGGGTTGTTGTCTCTTTGACACATTCTCCGTCTCCATTCTCTATTCTATTTGATATACTATTCAAGAGACGCTTATATATGGAAGACCATTTCTGAAGATATGCCGTAAAAGCGAATCTGAATGGTTTGATGAATTTACTAATCTCATTATCTAATGAATACATACACTGATCGAAACATTAAAAGGTAATTTGCAGATATCGTTTTATATTATAACTTTTGCACTGCTTATGGCACACGTTCACACATATGATGGGAAGAACGGATATGATATAAAATAATGTTTGTGACTATTCCAAGTGAGGAGCCTGTAAATCAGTAGTTGTCGGTTTTTTGCTGTATATCATATGTGTTTTTTGTGTGTTTTGTACATAAATCAGGCCATATGTTTTCTTATTTACATTGTTTACATTTTGTTATGTCTAGGTCTTTTAAAGCTTTCTATGTGGTATGAGTTTCGCTCATCGTTGAAAGCCGCATACGGCGACCTATAGTAGATAACATCCACACCATTTGTTCTCTGATGGATACTTGTCTCACTGGCAAGCTTACCACATCTCCTTATTTTATGTTGTGCATCAACGTATGACACACAAGCAATACGTTACCTAAAAAAATTCAAAGGAGCATTGACACTTTATCATAGAAAATTAAATCAAATATATACTTGAATCCTACATTACCCACTACAAAAGAAAAAAATATGAGCTATGCATCTGAAATTGACTCTTTAACATATATGAGGATCCATTTGGTAATTTTGATTACCATGTCTCTAAATCTGAAATTGTCTGATTACTTCTCAAAATGTTTGCTTTTTATTTGAATCATCGATTAAGAATTCAGACACTTGTCTATTTTCAAGATACTACAAGCTATATCAGACGAGAATGGTTTATAATTTACATGTGTATAAAAATTGTGTGAAAATAAGACACTGATTACTACGGACATGAACAAGCATCACTTACAACCCCCTTACAATGAGGGCTTACAATGTCTTGTATCTTATTATCTGGTGAATATAAACTACCATTCATGAAAGCTGACACAAACTACTGACAGTGGTATCAAAATGGTTTGAATTTGGTCCATAAATGTCTAATTTTCTTTATTAACAAGATGTTTAGATATCAGTACTTGATGCTCTCACTTTGATGTAGGTTTTTAAAATTTAATCTTGGGAAGATCAATTTGATGGCTTAATAATCTATGTGTCTCGGTTACTACAAATGAGCGACACAACAATCTCTTTTAACAACGTTTCCAATTATCTTTGAAAATATTGTCACTTTAAAGTTTTAATTGCAAGTAGGAAAAAAATGTTACTGTCAATTCGTCAACTTTTACATTTCTGCATTAAACAGATTTGATTAATTATAAATGACAATATTCAATACATATTGTACTTCATTCCTGTTTTTAACATCGAAGCCAAACAATTCTGTATTATGGGTTTAAAGATACCAAAAGTGCAACCAAAGACCATAAGGCGGAAAAACCCAAAGAAATTTAGTCAAAAAGAGAAAAAAAGACGAACAAACTACAAACATCTAAAACCCACTACACAAAAATCTACAACCCACTACACAAAAATCTACAACCCACTACACAAAAATCTACAAACCACTACACAAAAATCTACAACCCACTACACAAAAATCTACAATTCACTACATAAAATCTACAATCCACTACACAAACATCTACAATCCACTTCACAAACATCTACAAACCACTACACAAAAATCTACAAACCACTACACAAAAATCTACAACTTCCACTACACAAAAATCTACAAACCACTACACAAAAATATCAGATTGAGAAACATGAACCCAACCATAAAACGAGAAGTGAACACTGAAGCTGGAAGTTTCAGCAATTCTTGCTCCTCTAGTGGTACCCATCGTAATCTGCACGACAAGTAAACAGCCTTGGAACAAAGAACAAACTAGAGATATGAACTCTATTTATAGGTCTTACTTGAGTTATGCAATACTATAATCGATGACAGTTAATGACGACCAGTTTGAACAGTGAATATGTTTCTTTTTTGTGATATTTAATTCAATGGTAACACTTAGAATGAGTTTCATAACAGCGTGGACATGGACACATAGTAATTAAATGTTATCGTGTGTATCACGGGCTGTCGACAACAAAGACTTCACGCAATTACAGTATGTCAGGGGCCTCTCAATGGGGATATACATGATTACTATCTTTACACATGTCCATTCATAAAATAAAGGTTTTTGCATGAAATTTTATAGGAATTTGTTTTGAATATATTTATATACTCAGAACAAAAAGTTTCTTTTGACAGAATGAGTATATTCAGAGGTGATATCACCAAGTAATCGAAAAAAAAAAAAAAAACGTTATGATTTTTCTTGCACAAACGTTCTGTGGCTACTTAAAAAAAATAAGAGAACATTTATTCGTACGAAATGATGGAGAGTAACCTACGTTCAACTTTCATACTAAGATTATTTATGTTGGTGATAAGAACCCCGCACCTTCAAAAAAAAAAAATCATTTTAGTCCTCTGGACTGCATAATGTTTTGCACTGAACAAATTTGAATTCCCATCGAAGACTCCAACGATCAGATTTTCGTGAATATTTAAATATCATTCTAACAAAAAATAACTCGCGAAAATATCAAGAAGCATATGAATCCGGTCTTGTGTGCATAAATTACGTTGATTGGAGTCAGTGTAGCTTTTGTGGAAACATTGATACATGTATTTATTTTAGATTTTGTTATACCTCAACACGTATAACAACAGTTACGGGATCTATACAGTCCGCCAAAAGTTAAGCACCATCTATTTTTATTGTATCGAAATTTTTTCATTTAAAAAAAAATCAGTTATTCCTCGAAAAAGAGAAAACGTTCAAGTAGCAATTTTGCTAACATATACCATAAACAAACCATAACTTAAGTTTGGTCACATATGCAGGTTCTATGCATTTACATTTTGCGTCATAGAAAGAGTGCAAATTACACAAATCAGAAACGAAATTTAAGTTTCACTGTGATTTTATTTTTTTACAACAATGAATCACCAAATATCATTAAAATTCTCTACAAATAATCTTTGGTATGTTCGGCAAATTTAATGTCAATATTTGAGTCAATAGGATGTGTAACCACCTCTCTTCCGGTACAGTTCCATAACACGGCGTCTCATACTCTGTACAAGCCTTCTGAACTTTAGTTGAGGAAATCTATTCCATTCATCAACAATTGCCACTCTTAAATCGCAAAGATTTTGCAAAGGTGGATCTCTGCGATTGAAATTTCTGTAAAGGCATCCCAGACATGTTCGATAGGGTTCATGTCTGGAGAAATGGAAGGCCAATGTATTCTTGCTCTTTGTACTCGGTTACAATCCTTGCCCTGTGTGGTCTAG